TCCTGACTCCTGGCCTCCTCAGCTATGTCAGAACCTAGCTGGGCCCCAGAAGAGCAGATTTTCAGATCACCAGCCCTTCCTCCCGAAGCACCCCACTTTTCAGTGCTTTCAGGTAGCAGTCAGCCGCTCTGTGCAGCACCCGGGGCCTGTATGTTGGTAGGTGCCGTCGAGTCGGCTCTGACTCATACCGCCTCCCTGTACAACAGAACCAAACACTGCCCGGTCCTGCGCCAGCCTCACAATCCCTGCTGTACCTGGGCCCGTCGCTGCATCCACTGTGTCAGTCCGTCTTGTTGAGGGCCTTCCCCTTTTTCACCAACCCTGCACTTTACCAAGCATGACATCCTTCTGCAGGGAATGGTCCCTTCTGACAACAGGACCAAAGCAGGTGAGACGAAGTCTGGGCATCCCCACTTCCAAGGGGCATTCCGGCTGCACTTCTTCCAGGACAGATCTCTTAGACCTTTTAGCACTCCAAGGCACTTTCAGCCTTCTTCGCCAGCAGAACTCAAAAGCATTAATTCTTCTGTGGTCTTCCTCATTCATTGACCAACTCTCACATGCACATGAGACGACTGAAAATACTATGGCTTGAGTCAGGAGAAACTTAAGTCTTCAGAGAACAAACATCACTTTCAAGACTTAGGGACTCCGTCTCCTTCCCTAGAGCTTGCTGCATGAGGGCCAGGCCTGGGTCTGCCTCACTCCCTGCTAAGGAGCAGCACGGGCTGAGCGACAGAACACAGTGCCACCTGCATGGGCTCTGTCCCCCCCCCTCCCCCCCCCGCCCCCTCCCCCCCCCGTGTCACCTCCAGGCCCTTCCCGAAGGAGCCCAAGGCTGCAACTCCAGGAGAACGGGGAGCCATGTTTACAGATTTCTGAAGAAATAGAGCCACCCTGTCCCCCACTGTCTCCCTAAAAGGGATGTTGTGCTCACTGGCAGTATCAAGCCAGAGACTGTTAAGTTTGTGACAGACACACACGTCCCACCTCTGTGGACAGGAAGCCAGGAACGACACGGGGAACATGAGCGCCATTCAAGAGACACCGACTTCTCTCAGCCCCTGGTCTGGGCCTCGGAGAGAAAAGCTTCCCGAATTGCACGGTGAGGACAGGCGGGCTGTGCAGACAAACCGCCGAGCTCGAAGCCTCGAGGCCCGCCTCCACCTCCCCGGGTTCCGGACGCAGCCAGCGCACCTGACCAAGCCCCCTGACCTCCAGTGCGAACAGACTTTTCAAGGCAGAGCCAGCCCACCTCGCACCTCGGATCCTCCCGCTGGTCCAAGTCTTGGACGCTGGGGAGCGCACTGCTGACCCCAGCCCCTCTGCACCGCGACGCGTAGAAAAGCGCGACTGGGCATCCACCGCAGCCACGTTCCCAGCATCATTTGAGGGATCCCTCCGCCCGAGAGGAAGCAAGGCTGCAGCCAACTGCAGGGATGCGCCCACCTCCGCCTCCCACGCCGCCAGGAAGGCCATCTGCGCAGGCCCCCGCAAGGCTGGTGCTGCCCGGGAATGCCGGCACAGAAGCGAAAGCCCAAGCTCTGGGGCCTGGGGGTGCAGGCCGTGGCAACCAGGGGAAGGGACGGAGAAAGGCCCCGGAAGAACTAGACTGGCTGTTCTCTCCACGACCAAGGACCAGATGGGGCTCCCTGGAGAGAAGCGTCAGGGGCGCGGCCGTGACCGCTCCCAGGAAGTGGCTCACGAGGCCCAGGCCCAGGCCCTGGACAGGCGCGCGGGCCGACCGAGGGCCGAGCTCCACTGCGGCGCCCGCAGACGCCCGCGCCTCTCGGGCCTCTCAGCCTACTCCGCCCCAACCTGGCCGCCAGGGCCTGCGGCGAAGGCGCCGCCCGCCCCTGATCCCAGCCCGGAACGCGCCACTCACCCGGCGCCCAGCGGCGAGAGACGGCCCGGCCAGGCGCCACGGACCGCGCAACGGCCGCAGGACCCGAGCCCCGCCGACAAAGCCCGCAGGCCGCCTGCGCACCGCAGCCGGAAGTACGCCAGGCCCCGCCCTGACGACTTCCGGTGCCGCTCTAGGAGAGCGCCCGAGGCAGCCTCCTCTCGGTGGCGCGGAGTTCCGGCCGTGGGGACAGCGAAGGTAGTGTGTTCCTGCGGGAAGGGCCGCGAGAGGGCGTCCGTGCCCCAGGGCCGGGAAGGACGCACAGGAAAAGGAGGGTCGGACGCTCCAGTTTTCAGTGAGCTGGCTGCAGAGGCCAGGCCGGTGCGGAGAATCGGCCTTCCGGGGCCGGAGACTCCGGGGAAATGGGATAGAATGCAGGTCTTCACACTTTTGTCTTAGCCTACTATGCAAATGAGGAGCGCTGGTAGCATAATGCCTAAGGCATTTGACTGCTAACCAGAAGGCTGGTGGTTCAAACCCACCAGCCACTCCTCGAAAGGAAGATGGGGTTAATTTACTTAGTAGTGATACTGCCTCGGAAACCCAAGGAGGGTTCGCTATGAGTCAGGTCTGACTTGACGGCACATAACAACAACAACAAATGAAGTGTCTGTGGCGTGTTGGAATTAATCGGATTGGTCAATTTGTGTGTCCGCTGGGATATGTGTGTGTGTGAGAGAGACAGAGAGAGAGAGAGAGAGAGAGGGAGAGAGAGATGCCTTGAAATTGAAATTGACCAGGGGAAACCAGATGGTCCATGGGCAAGGATGAAGATTTCCAGCCTCAGAAACCGTGTGGGTCAGTTCTACTCTGTCCCGTAAAGTTGCTGAGTCGGAATCGACTTGATGACAGTGGATTTGATTATTTATTTATTTATTTATTTTGTTGAAGTCAGAGGTTTTCTCTTGGGTCATTGAAATCTTCGCTCAAATAACATCTTTTCGGCGAGATCCCTCATGGAAATGCTGTTTAAAATTGCAACCCTGCGCCATACTCTCTGTTTCCGCAATTTAATTTTCTACATTGAGTTGTCACTTTCTAACGTACTATATCAAATATTAGATTATTTGTGTAAAAAAAAAATTGACAAGGAGGGTGGGTAGGTGAGTGGGTGTGTGCCCACAGCGCACATGCAGCCAGCCCCCACAGAGGTTTTTCAGACAGAAAGAAGTAAGAAAAAAAGCTGCAGGAAGAAGCAGAAGGAAGAAAGAAGCAGCAGAGAGAGTGAGAGGAGGCAAGGAATTTCCTAAAAGACACTGAAGACAGTGACAGGTCCAGCAGAGCCAGCAGCAACAGGCTCGGACAGGGCCCTGTGAGTCAGTGGTGACGGACGGCAGGGCCGAGGGGAGTCTGTCCTCGGGGGGCTGGGAGGAGGCTTGCGTGGCCAAGGGGGGCTGAGTGCTGCTGTGCAGTGAAGAGGGGAGACTTTGGTTACATGCTTCTTGATCCAGAGTTGTATCTTGTTGCTTCCGTCATAAACTACTTAACTATAAATGGGGTCTGTGAGTTCTCGTTGCTCCCACAAGGTATTATCAAAGCCACAGAGAAGTCGCGAGTGTGGTGGGCAGGACGGCTGGGGTCAGAAGTGGTGAAGAGGTTGGTCTGACTCCACCTGGCAGGGCTTGGCCTTGCGCTGGTCGTGATTCAAGTCAGCCGCCCAAGGTTAGACAGGTCCTGATGCTGCTGCTGTTGGCATTTCACACCATCTCTGCTTCCATTACTCACCATCACAGCTGTGGTCCTGGGACCACTCAGTCAGGGAGGAAAGGAAGGAAAATTGAGGTGATGTGGGGAGAATTGTAGGGGAAAACCTGCATCCTCCCACCCCTCTTCCCCAGAGACCCCAGATGGTCAGAGCAGTCTGTCCAGCAGGGTCCTCTTTGTCCCTGTCTGTTGAGTGTGGGCACGTGCCCATGAAGCTGGGTAAACCAGCCACTGAACCAAACCAGGAGACAGGTGCCATTGAGTTGGTCCCGACTAGTGGCTGCCCAGTGTGCGTCAGCAGAACTGCTCTAGAGTATTCATGGCTGTGAGCTTTCAGAAGCACACCGCAGACCTTCTTCCAGGTCCCCAGGAAGTCCATGTGCTCCTGGGCACAGGAGATGGCGTCTTCCCATCCTCGCTTCTAAGGAGTGTTCCAGCTGTACTTCTTCCAACATAGACCCTGAGTTGGTGTGGGTCCGTCTCCCATCTTTGCCACACAGGTGGCCTCCTGGGGCACCTTTTGTACAATCTGTGTAGGTGGGAACTGCCACCCTCTCGAATGGTGGTTGAGCACTGAACTGTTGGCACTACCCAGGGACACAGGCAACCAGTGTCGTTGGGTGCCATGCAGTGGATTCTGACTCCTGCCGACAGTAGAACCGCCCCCAGGGCTTCCTGGGCTGTACTCTTTACGGGAGCAGATCATTGGTTCTTTTGTCCCGTGGAGTGAGTGCTTGGTGGGGTCAAACGGCCAACCTTTTGGTTAGCAGGTGAGTGCTTAACCACTGTGCCATCTGGGCACGCCTTCAAAGCCAGGAAAACCAAACTCACTGCCATCAGCCCAATTCCAACTCACAGCGACCCCATTGAGTTTGCAGGGTGGTAAATCTTTACAGAAGTGCATTGCCCAGTCTTCCTTCCCAGGAGTGGCTAGAGGGTTTGAACCGCCAGCCTGCTGGTTAGCAGTAAAATGCCTTAGGCACTCTGCCACCAGAGCTCCTAGAGATCAGCAAGTCCAACCCAAATCAGCCTAGCTTCCAGCTGCAGGTGGGAACTTTTGTTACAAGGAGGTAGGTGACTGACGCTGAGCTCCAGGGTCTGAGTGGCAGAGCCCACGCCGCACCCTCCCCAGCAGAGGCTCTAGCTCGGAGCCTCGGCGACTCAGGGTGGTCGCGGCCCCAGAGCTCCGGCCCCACCTCGGCGCCCGAGGACTGACAGCTGATGAGAACTACATTTCCCAGGTAGCTGGGCGACCCGGACTACATTGCCCAGAAGGCACGGGAGGCAGTTGGCCGCGCCTCACGGACTCCATTTCCCAGAGTGCCGCGAAAGGGGTTCGCCCCAGTCCCGCCCCGTCTACCTGGCCGGGTGCGTGGCGGGAGACGTGGCCGGAGACGCTCCCGGCGCCGGAAGCAGCTGTCGGTGCTCAGGGTAGGTGCGGCGGTCGCAGGTGAGACTCCTCGGGGCGCTGAGGGGACCCGCGGGGGCGCGGAGGGCAGGTCACCGCGGGGCTCTGGGTGCGCCATGGGGACCGGGGACTTACGTGCGTGGGAGGGGGGCCGTGGGAGTGGCAGGGGCAGGAATCCGAGCCGGCCCGCAGTGGGGCCTCCCTGCCGGCCCGTGGCTGGGCTGCCGGGTCTGCAGGACGTCCGGGCAGAGCCCCCTCCCGGCGGGGCTGCCGCAGGGCTCAGCTGGACGGGAAGGGCCTGAGCAGAGACCTGCCTTCCGGGACGGGGTCCTCGAGGGCAGGCGGCTCGCCGAGCCCTGTCCAGTGCTGACCTGCGCGACCTGCCCGGCGCAGCAAGGCTCGCGAGGGTGCGCCCAGGCCGGCTGGGCTGCAAACGCAGGTGCCGCCCTTTCTCTTGCTGTGGCGTGTGGGTGATGGTCCGAAACAGCCCTGTTGATCCTAGGAACCCCCAGCCCGGAGGTTCTCTGCCGCCCTTCGCCCTCTTGTGAGCTGGAGGGGATAGGAATGTACCCTTTCCTGTGCCCAGTGGGCCTGTGGGTCGGGTGGGCAGGTGGAGCTGGGGCCACATTTCAGGGCCCCCCGGAAGCTTAGGCTGAAGAGTACTAAGGAACAGGGCTCGTTGAGGGGTTCTTTCCCCTCCCTGAGGGCCTCACCTGTGCTAGTTGCCCAGGTTAAGGACAGGGACTCCAGTCTGGGCCACAACAGGGAGTGGGGCTCAGACCGATGGCAGTGTGTAAGGCCTCCATGTCACACCGTTGGACCTTACAGGTGCAGCAGACATGGGGGAACCCCGGGAGCCTATGAGGATCCTAGTGACAGGGGGCTCTGGGCTGGTCGGCAGAGGCATCCAAACGGTGGTGGCAGATGGAGCAGGTCTGCCTGGAGAGGACTGGGTGTTTGTCTCCTCCAAGGATGCTGACCTCACGTGAGTGTGCCCATCCCTGAGGCCTCTGACCCCGACCCAGGTCCTCTCTAGACCGAAAAGCCCAGCCTGCCAGGTGGCCCACATCCTCACGTAGCCGGGCACTGGCCTCTGCCACTTTCCCTGTTGGCACATCAGGCCCAGTCTAGCCCTGCCTCCATGCCCCAAGCTGCCAGTTCCCCTCAGCTTCCCATCAGCCTCTGACACCCCGGCTTCCCCAGGGATGCAGCGCAGACGAGGGCCCTGTTTGAGAAGGTGAGGCCGACGCATGTCATCCATCTTGCCGCGATGGTCGGGGGCCTATTCCGGAACATCAAGCACAATTTGGACTTCTGGGTGAGGAGGCACCCCGTGGGCACTGAGATCTGGGTGAGGAGGCACCCCGTGGGCACTGAGGTCTGGGAGCACTGGCCTCCGGGCTCTTCCATTCTGGCTTTCCACGCACACAGGAGCATCCTGAAGGTGCCGGGGAGGAGGCTGTGAGGGTCAGGGCTTGGTCCAGCCCCGGTGGGGCAGCCCCTGTGGGCCCGTGGTGCAGTGAGCTCAGCGTGGCTTTGGGTCAGTGGATAAGAGCCTGTGGTCGGACTGCCGGGTGAGGTGAGGGCCGAGGGAATTGGGCCTTGGCTATCTGACCTGGGCGTTTTTTTTTGCCTCCTGAGCCCTCTGGCCTCCACACACTCAGACTCTGGGACCGCTGGTCCTCCTCCGTGAGCTAGGGCCAAGGCGGTCAAGTTGTTGTTACGTGCCGTCAAGTCGGACCCAACTCATAACGACCCCTCCTTGGGTTTCCGAGGCAGTATCACTGCGGAAGTAGATTACCCCATCTTCCATCCAAGGAGTGGCTGGTGGGTTTGAACTGCCAGCCTTCTGGTTAGCAGTCAAGTGCCTTAGCCACTATGCTACCAGAGCTCCCTAAAGGTGGTCAAGGCTGTTCTGTTATTGGGCCCAAGTACCTAGAGTGGGGGTGCAAGGGTCCCCTTCTCTGCTGCACGGGACCCCACCCCTACCCCAGGGCCGGGTTGGGCCCCCTAGGGGCCTTCCCTCTCCTCCATCACCCGACCTGTCTGCAGAACTGCAGGTGGGCCAGGCCCTGGGCTGAGAGGGTGGTGACCTTACTCCAGGGCCTGCCCCTGTACTCCGGTGGGGATGGGCTTGCTGTGGAGGAATGAACTCCTGAAGGGAGAGGAGGCAGTGGTTTCTGGAAGGTGGGGTGGGGAGGCCTTGCCCTGGAGGAGTCTGGAAGCATCAGCTCAGGTTCCCTGGAGGCACTGGGGGGAGGCCAGGGTGCCATCCCCAAGAGCCTGAGCCCACCACGCCCCCTCCCTGCAGAGAACAAACCTGCACATCAACGACAACGTTCTGCACGCGGCCTTTGAAGTGGGCGTCCACAAGGTGGTCTCCTGCCTGTCCACTTGCATCTTCCCCGACAAGACCACCTACCCTATTGATGAGACCATGGTGAGGGGAGGGCTCTGACCATGTGGGTGGGACTAGTGCTAACTGCAGGGGCGTGGCCTGACCTGGAAGAGGGGCGGAGTCTGATCTGAAGGCAGGGCCAGAAGTAGCAGCAGCCTCGCAGGGTGGGGTCTGTCCAGTGGGCCCCCCCCCCCCCCGAGCCGTGTCCTCAGTGTGTATCCTGCACCCCCAGATCCACAACGGCCCCCCTCACAGCAGCAATTTTGGCTACTCATACGCCAAGAGGATGATCGACGTCCAGAACAGGTCCCCGTGGTGCCCGTCCCCCAAGGCCAGGATTGGGAGGAGCGCGCTCTGGGCGGGTTGGTCTGGACAGGCTGGGTCTCCTGGGCACGGGGTCTCCCCTGGGCTGCCTCATTTCCCTTCCGCGTCGGCTTCTGCTTTGTGTCTGTAAGAGGCCAGGGCTGGGTGTGGTGTGGCAGGTGGTCCTGGGGTGCGGGAGGGAGCAGCCCGGTGCCGTGCCTCGCAGGGCCTATTTCCAGCAGCACGGCAGGACCTTCACCGCAGTCATCCCTACGAACGTCTTTGGACCCCATGACAACTTCAACATAGAGGACGGCCACGTGCTGCCCGGCCTCATCCACAAGGCGCACCTGGCCAAGAGTGAGTGCTGGCTGACAGGCAGGCCCATGTGGACGGGCTTTAGAGAAGGGTGGGTCCCTGGGGCTTGGGGGCAGGCACCATGCCACCGGTTCCCACTGACACGTGCCTCCCGCACCTGCAGGCGGCGGTTCAGCCCTGACTGTGTGGGGCACGGGGAAGCCCCGACGACAGTTCATCTACTCACTGGTTGGTGCAGGAGGGGCACAGCTCTCCCCTGAATGTCCCCATCTGGCCCTGCCTCGCTGCCCTAGGCCAGGCAGCTAACGGGAAGCCTGAGGCTTGCTGGTATTCAGACTGGGCCGGGTGTGGCACAAGTGAGCCTGGGATGGGGTGCAGGGTGCAGCTGGGCCCCGAGAGGTGCCATCCCTGCTCATCACTGGGTCCCTGTGGGCCCCAGGCATCACTGTGCAGCTGAGCCCAGGAGAGGAGGGACTTGGTCAGTGGCAGCTGAGCTGGCATTTGGGAACGGTGTGTCCAGTGGCCACGACCAGGGCCCTGACCCTGCCCTGTCTGGCCTGCAGGACCTGGCCCGGCTCTTGCTTTGGGTCCTCCGTGAGTACAGTGAGGTGGAGCCCATCATCCTCTCAGGTACGCTCAGGTGCCCCCGCTGCTGCCGTGCCTGTCCTGGAAATACTGAAGGTGGCGTGGTGGGCAGCTCTGCCAGGTGGGGGGGCGGGCTGAGCGGCCTTGGGTCCTTTGCTCCCGCAGTGGGCGAGGACGACGAGGTCTCCATCAGGGAGGCGGCTGAGGCTGTGGCGGATGCTATGGACTTCCACGGGGAGGTCATTGTACCCTTGGGCCCCTGTGGCTGCTGTTGGGCAGAGGTGCTGTGGGGGGGTGGCTAGTGGATACTGCAGAGGGAAGGGGCAGGGTTGCCTGGGGAGAGAGGGCCGGCTGGTGCCTGGTGGCTCAAGGGCAGGGGTGGAGGAGGTGGGGTTACCAGGGCTGCTTCCACTGTGGCCTTGACCATGTGCCCAGTTTGATACAAGCAAGTCGGACGGGCAGTTCAAGAAGACGGCTAGTAACAGCAAGCTGAGAGCCTACCTGCCGGACTTCCAGTTCACACCCTTCAAGCAGGGTGAGGCCCCACCCTCTACATCCCCAGGGTCAAGGTCCTCATTGCTCTGCCTCTCCGGGCCCCACCCACCCCAAGCCTCAGCTTCCTGAGAGGAATGATACCCCTGGAGCTCAGGCCTTGAGTGCACTTGGTCAGAGCCTGGGAGACATGGACACAGAGGATGGAGACTCCCCTGATGTCTTCCAGTGTGATCACCCACTGCCCTCATCTCCCACCTCACAGCCGTGAAGGAGACCTGCACCTGGTTCACTGAAAACTATGAACAGGCGCGGAAGTGATGACGTGGGCGGAGCATCACCGGCTTCTCCCCAGGCCCAGTGGTGACTGCCCTTCCACTGTGCCAGGTGCCAAGGGCCTGCCCGGCAACCTATGCCCACGTTCCACTGGCCATTCCTGGCAGCTGTCCAGCAGGACCACCCATTTGTGTCCGTCCTCAGGGAAACCAAGGCCTGGCCAGGGCCCAGCACCTTGCTGCTCGACGCTGGTCCCTGCGTCCCAGTCTGTCCCCTTCAGACCCTGTGCTATTCCCCGGGGGCAATAAAGTGCATTTCCACAGCTTGGTGCCGGCAGTCCCCTGCTTTGCAGGCGCAGCCTCCTCCAGCCCTGCCCTGGCCCTTGAGAGCTACTGAGGGTTAGCCCTGCACCTGCCAAGGAATGGGGCAGACTGGCCGTGGGTGGAGGTTGTGTGCTCACTCGGGCAGCGGGCAGGGGGTTGACGTTCAAAGAGTGATGGGGATTCCCTGTCCCCTGCCCTAGAGGAATCAGGAGTGGGGCAGATCTCTGGGCAGCTGGTTGGGCAGGGGTCCTGGGCCCATTAGACATGCTCCTGGCCTTGGCCACAGCCTGCTGTCTCCACGAGTGGCTGCGTGCAGTCCCAGATAGCCTAAGCTCACCTGGGCCTCCACCAGACTTTAGCCGTGAAGACTGGTGGAAGGGGTTGATCTGAATTTGGGTAGGCCGTGTGGGGACACATGGATGGATCAGGGGATGGGTGGTGACTGAGTGATTCCCTCTGTCAGAATCTTCCCCATTCAGTCTCTAAATGCCTCAGGTCTCTGCCATGTGCCCCACCTCCTCCAGGACCAGCTAGAGGATCTAACACCTGTTCACCGGGTCAGCCACATTGGAATTCCACTACTTCTGGGCCATGTGTTTTATAAGGGCCCAGCCTCACACCTCCTTCCTGCAAATCCTGGGAACCCCAACACCAGAATGAGGCTAACAAAGGAGCGTCAATATGAACAAGTTCTGGGCAAGGGAACTTCACTGTACCCCCAGGGGCTCCAGAGAACCAGGGCAGCAGGCGCTCCGGAAAGGCTGCTCCCACCTGGAGAACTTGGGCCTAATCCGGACCAGCATTAACCAAGGCAGCTCCCTGCTGAAAGCTCAGATGTCAAGAGGTCATCGGTGGCCTTCGGGTTCTGCAGCACTGCCCGTGTGGGGCACAGCCAGGCGTGCCTTCTGGGAGCTTGGCCTCTGGGGCCTGGAATTGGTCTCCCACCCTGTCTGCTGACCCCTGCACACACAGTGATGTCCGCTCGCACATGTCTAAGTCCTGCCGCGGCGCCCCATCGCCCCCTGTACAGGATTTGGAACTCAGGCCGCGGTTCCCTTTGCTGCCCAGAGCTATCCGGGCATCCCTAGCCTTTCCAGCCCCTCGCGACGCCCCGCCTCCGCTAGCACTCCCCGCCCCGGAACTCTAGACGCCGGGCGGAGATTTCTCTCAGCCGAGTGGCCGGACTAGGCCAACTCTGCTTATTCCAACCAATGATCAGTGAGGGGGTGGGGCCCGCTGGTTGGGGCGCAAGTAGGGGGCGGAGCGTGGGGTTACAGCAGCCAATCGACGAGGGAAAAGGCGGGGCGGCGTAGCCTATTGGCAGGACCGAGGCGTGTGGGGGTAGGTTCGACCTGGAGCAAGAGATGGCGGCGGCTTGGGACCCGATTCCACTACGCGTGGGCTTCGTGGGCGCGGGCCGCATGGCAGAGGCCATCGCACGGGGCCTCATCCGAGCAGGTGGGCGCCGGCCATGTCAGTCGGCAGGATGACTGCAGCAGGACGGGCCTGGTGCCGAGCTTCGGGTGGGACTCGGACCGACCGTCGCAGGAAACGCTCGTCGGTTCCGAGAGCACCCCAGCAGGGGGGTGCGTGGAAGGGCAGAGCTAGCTGCGAGCCTCGCGTGGCTGCTGAGCGCTTGTGATGGGCCCAGATTGGATTGAGGCGCGCGCTGTGTGCACGCTGGGCTCGGAAGACTTAGTGAAATCTGAGGTGTTTACCACCTCCCCACGGAGACGCATTGCAGACCAGGGGTTTCGAGGGCGGAGCCCAGTGCTGGCACGTGTGAGCGGGCAGCACACGCGGCGGTCATGGTCCGGGTCACCGTGTTGTGTGCGCGAGTGGTGGCTGCACCTCTGTGCCTCTCCTGGAACATAGTTTCTGCTTGGACAGCCCAGCGCAGACCGCCCCCTACAGGGGAAGCGTTGTCTCACTCGGCTTCCTTGGTGGTCATCTGCCTCCGCACCCACCACACCACCCCCTAAGCGGGGTGCTGCACCTGGGGTCACTCGGCCAACCTGCCTTCCCTGGAGTCAGAATCCCAGCATCTCTTGGATCCTCCTGAGAGGAGGCCGGGCTCGGGCCTGGTTCATCTTTGCACCCTCCCTGCGGTGTCCAGCAGCAGCAGGCAGGTGGCAGTGCCTGGCCAGAAGCGGAGGGCTGGGTCCGCCCCACCCCAGGCGGAAGGAGCACTCTCACTCGGCACTTTGGGTTCCTTGTGCAGTCAGGCCAGTCGGGGGCCAGGAAAAGACTCTCCAGTTAGGGGCAGGCCAGGCTGGCTCCTCCTCCTTCCTCCCACCCCTGCCCTTCCTCCTCAGCACCTTCTACCTTTGCCTCTCTCCCCAGGAAAGGTGGAGGCTCAGAATGTGCTGGCCAGCGCACCAACGGACAGGAACCTCTGCCACTTCCAGGTGGGCTGGGAGCCTGGCTCTTCCAAGAGCAGGGGCCCAGCTCTCATGGGGCCCGGGGGGGGCGGCGCTCACCTTGGGTCACGTTTTTCGGATGCTTCCCAGGTCCAGGATTTGAGGCCTGTCTCTACTGGGCTGGGGAAGTGGGGGTTAGAGACTAGGGCAGAATAAAGGGGTACATATGTATGTGTGTGTGTGTGTGAGTGTGTTGGTTGCTTGGGCCAGGCTGATTGCTCACTGGAGGAAGGAGAGCCCAGGGAAGAGGCTGACCCCAGGGGTCTGTGAGGAACACCACTGGGGCCTGAGCAAGGACAGGTGGTGGGTTCTGGGCATTAGGAGTGGGGCGGTACTGGGACTTTCAGCGAAAGGGACCCAAGGGGGCTGGGGATGCAGGGTGGCCCCAGGCAGGTGGGTCATAGTCAAGGGCTGTCGCAGCTCAGGGCTGCCCGCTGGCCATGGTGCTGCAGGCGCTGGGCTGCCGGACCACCCACACCAACCAGGAAGTACTGCAGAGTTGTCTCCTCGTCTTCTTTGCCACCAAGCCCCACATCCTGCCGGCCGTCCTGGCGGAGGTGGCCCCTGTGGTCACCGCTGAGCACATCTTGGTGTCCGTGGCTGCAGGGGTCCCGCTGTGTACCCTGGAGGAGGTGAGTGGTTGCTGCGAGACCACTGAGTGGGCACTGTTGGCTTGCTTCCCTCCCTTCTCAGCCCCTGGCCAGCTCTAGTCTGCACCCAGCCCTTCAGGAAACCGGGGGAAGGGGAGGAGGTGAGCCCCTGAGAGCCTGCCAGCTGGCCTTTGGGGTGCTGCCCGGGGCTGGGCCACCCCGGGAGCTGTGCCTGAGAGCAGGAAGGGGGCCTGCAGCCTCCCACCACTGGCCAACTCCAGCCCTTCTCCGGCAGCTGCTGCCTCCAAGTGCACGGGTCCTGCGCGTGGCACCCAACCTGCCCTGCGTGGTCCAGGAGGGAGCTGTGGTGCTGGCTCGGGGCCGCCGGGCCGGAAGCGATGCAGTCGAGCTGCTGCAGGGCCTGCTGGCGGCCTGTGGGCAGTGTGAGGAGGTGTCCGAGGTTTACATGGACGTCCACACGGCTCTCAGCGGCAGCGGCGTGGCCTTCGTGAGTGCTGGCTCCCCACCCTGCCCCGTCACAGGCTGGCCCTCGGCTTGAGTGCTCTGTCACAGGTGTGTGTGTGTGTGGAGGGGGGCTCTTCTTATGCCTCAGGGGCCCGTATGGCCCCCCTCTGTAAGCCTGGGCCTCCGAGGACGCCCATTGGGGCCGCAGGGTCAGCCCTGAAGGTGATTGCCAGGCCTTGGTGGGAGGGTGTGAGCCACGCCCCCACGTCTGCCTGCAGGTGTGCGCCTTCTCTGAGGCTCTGGCCGAAGGTGCCGTCAAGATGGGCATGCCCAGTGACCTGGCCCACCGTGTCGCCGCCCAGACCCTGCTGGTGAGCAGTGGGGAGGGAGCTGAGCCCACCGGCCAGGGTAGACTCCCCAGGGAGGGGGAGCAGGAGGACTGCGCCAGCCCCATCACAGCCCCAGTGTCTCTCTCCCCAGGGGACGGCCAGGCTCCTGCTGCATGAGGGCAGGCATCCTGCACAGCTGCGCACGGATGTGTGCACGCCAGGAGGCACCACCATCTACGGGCTCCACGCCCTGGAGCAGGGCGGGCTGCGGGCAGCCACCATGAGCGCCGTGGAGGCTGCCACCAGCCGGGCCAAGGAGCTTAGCAGGAAGTAGGGCCCAGGCCCGACTAAGTCCCAGATGCTGGGGGTGCCAGTCGGTGCCTTGACCCTGCCACCTTACCTCTCCCTGGCCCTCTGCCCCAGGACAGCACAGGTGTCTCTGGGGGGACAGGACTCACAAGATGGCAGGGCGCACAGCGTTGTCTCTGGAGAGGCAACGGCTGGCCCCTGGGTGGGGTGCTCTACGTGGTTGGGTGGTCGGCCAAGGGCATGCATAGCAGCCCCTGCTGGGTGCCCAGTCCCCGCACTCAGCCTCTCCCTCTGATGCCCCTCCCTCCTGTCAGCTCTGGTGGTGCGGAAGGCGCAGGTCCACCAGAAGAGCCCCCACCCGCCTCCTGCCTCCACCCTCTCCCATATACTCTGCCGTCCCAGGCCACCTGCCCCTCCGCCCCGTGCTCAGCCAGGCACCAGTGCTCTTGGCACCACCCCAGCCCACCGTCCTTGGGCTCATAGGATCTGCTGCTCGTCAGATGGGGAAGCTTGTATCCATTGCCATGCTGTATCATCTCCGTGTAAGGGGCCTAAAGATGCCCACCTTACAGGACTGACTGAGATGCTGTCTAACTGGAGCTCGTAAAACCAAGCGTCGAACCGTTGTTTTTGTTGTGGGATTGCATTGCAGAGGCCTGGGGTGCGGGACCCCAAGCAGAGCTCTGCGCTATCGGGTGGGTCGCTTGGAGGCCAGCTTCCCACTGGCCACACATCCCGTCCCGAGCCCTGCCCGGCACAGTCATGTTTACCACACCCTGCCTGTGCTGTGCAGCTGGCGTCCCCAAGTCTGGAGCCCAGGCTCTGGCTGGCCCTCCCCATCAGACCCTGGTGAAAGGTCTCCTGAAAAGGGGGTCCTAGGCACCCAGATAGGCTCAGCCCCCAGTTGGTCTGAGAGCCACCTGGCTGGCTCCGATGGAGACCCCCCACCTAAAAGGGAGCGTCTAGGTATGGCCGGTGTTCACTGGAGAGGGACAGCTTAGGGGGTGGGGCAGGAACCCCGTGGTGGCCTGCAGGCCTCCTCACTTACTTCCAAGTCTAAAGTGACCACTTTTCAGGGTTGAAATTCATGGTCAGTTCTGTCTTTAATTAATTCTGCTACATTTTTGCATCCTCTCCAACTTTCTTAAACAGTAGGGTGTCTTGCATGAAAACAGTGGATCAAAAGTTGCCAAACCAAAAGTTTAGATTGGGGACGTTAAAACAGTGGAGTAATAAAAAGCCAAGGTTGGGTCTTACCAGGTGACACGTTCAAGTTCAGCCTTTATTATAGAGCACCAGTACAGGGCAGCAGACCAGGAGGGTGGGCAGTTAAAGAGCTGCTCTCCAGCCAACAGTCCCCTCAGGGATGTGCCTTCTGCTTCAAGTCTTGCTGCTTCACCCCCCGACGAGGCACAGCTGCTTTCCTCCCAGGAGGAGCAGGCCTGGCCCCAGCTTTGAGGGTGCTGGGAGGGGCGCTCACACCCTTACAGGGACAGTGGGTGACCCCCAGCAAGAACCCGGTTCCCAGCAGGGCTGCCAAGGGGACTTGAGCAGCTTCCCCTACGAGACAGCAGCCCCCTTCCCCTCGCTACCACAGAGCCAGGCTGCAAACTCAAGGGCCCACAGAGCCCAGCAGGCCAGCCAGGGATGGTGCCAGTTGGGAGCACAGGGCTCTCCTGAGGGCACGAGTCACTGGTGCCCTGCAGCCTGCAGACCCTGGACTGCAGTGAGCCGGACTGCGTGTGGGGAGACTGTGCTGGTTTTGTCTTTGTTGAGGTTTGGAACTGGTTGAGGTTTTAGGAAACCATGTGTCACCCAGACTGAGCCACCTCCGGCTGCACTGCTGTCCTGCCACCAGCCCTCCAGGGGAAGCCTGCAAAATTGGACAGAAGCTGATCTGGGAACCATGCAGACTGAGGGACACGGGGCCAGCGCAGCGTGGAGCAGTGTCCACACGCAGGGCTCAGGGCTTACAACCTCACAGCTGCGGGCAGGACCCAGTGCCCCCCACTTCTGGAGGGTCTCTTTAGGGACCCTCTCACGAGGCTTTTTGGGCCACCAGCCACACCTGGTGGCACACTCCAGCAATGAGCCTGCATCTGCTGGACACGGGTGTCCAGGGCACAGGGACAGCACAGAGTGTGGTTCTCTAGGCTAGAGGGGACAGTTGGGAGGGGGCTGGTGCGAGGGGAAACATCTGGGGGGGATGGCAGCAAGCAGGCTCCTTGGCACCACCACAGGTCCCTGGTAAATGCCCCAGGGGCTGGAAGCTGCCCTGGGTGGTTAAGCCATGGCTGCGTAGCCCTCTGGTGCCACCCTTAGCTGCACGGTTTCATGTCCCTAAGTTCCCTGCCCTCAGGGCTGGGTGGCCGTCAGCTAGAGACAGAAGCTGTGTAAGGCCCCAGACTTAGCAAAGCCAGACCAACTGCCAAGGGTGAGGGCCCAGGCACCACGTGGCCCCCGGTGCTCACCATACCCAGACCCTTCTGTTGCTCCCCAGATCCCCACACTTCCTCTCAGCTGACTGGACCTATACCTTCCTGGATGGAGGTGGTTTGAGGGAACTTGCCTGTTGCCATGCCTCTGCCCAATGAAGACACGAAGTGTCTGCAGCACTCACACCCCGCAGGGGCGGGTTGGGCAGTGGGGATGGGCTGGGGGAGTGCTAGAGGAAGCAGTGTCCACAGGGCCCTGGTGACACCCTCCGGACGCCCCCTCTGGAGGTACCCAGTGCTCTCAGCCACCACCAGGCCTCAAACACTAGATGGGACATTAGTAGCTTGCTGTTTAGGCTCTGGGGCTGGACACTGGGCAGTGGCTGGGGTGAGGGGACGTGACACAGGGCCTATCTTGCCATCCTTCAAGTCAATTCAAGCCGGGACCTAAGCCAGACACTGGCCAACCCTTAGGAAAAGGAGAGCTGCACACAGGCTCTTGGGAGCGCCTCTGGGCTGGGCATCGGCCCCTCCTGGTCATTGAGAGGCCCTTCCACCTTGCTGGACACCTAGCACCATGGGTGCACCTTGGTCCTGTTCTCATGGTCCTCTGTTTTGAAAAAAATGTACTCAACGTGTTACAAAGACAAGTGACATGTTTTCCTAGAGACCCTGGCACTGCAGTGGGGGGGTCGCGCCATGCAGAACCAGGGCCCCCACTCTGGAGGCTTCATCCAGTGCACGAGCTGGTGATGGGGGTGTGGACAGGCACAGCCTGAGGTCCCGCCACACCCCACAAGCCGGGCCCATGGGGGTCAGACAGGAACACAGCAAAGTGCCCCTGCTAAACGCTGTAGTGCACGTGTGTGTGTGTGTGTGTGTGTGTGTGTGTGTGTGTATACGTAGGTACCCTAACAAAGTGTCCCAGCCCCGCCTTGCATTCCTTTCTCTGCGCCTCTTCCAGCTCTCGCAGACTGGGGGCAGTCGGGCAGGACGGCCCTTCACCAAGGAAGCCCATCCAAGCCAGGCAAGGCTCCTTCCCAGTGCCCGCAGGAGGTGGCCACCCCGGAGAAGGGAGATGGGGAGACTGTGTAGCCCCTCCCTCAAGTGCAGCAGGTGAAAAGCCGCTGAGGGCTGCTCAGACCAGCGATCACACCCCGCCCTCCAGCACGCCTCCCCCGACGCCCCCCAGTCTCCGCGCCATGCCGATGAGCGAGCGCAGCTGCGCCAGCTTCAGCGGCCCCACCTCGCGAGGGTCCCTGCTCTCCAGCCACCGCAGAGCGGTCTCCAGGCCCCGAATAGCCTCGCCGGCGGTGGGCACGGGGACCCCTCCCTGTTCTGCCGCCGCAGGTCCCTCCCCCGCCTCCTCACCACCTCCCAGGCCCGGGGTCCGCTTGGCCTGCGGTGCAGGGGCTTCCGGCGCCGGGCGCGCGCCTGCCTCCTCCCGGCAGCCCCCCGGCAGGCCCCCGTCTTCATCCAGGTGCAGCCACTCGGCCACCTCCTCGGGCGCCAGGCGCTTATAGGCCAGGGCGGCCAGGTGGGTGAGGTCGCTGAGCGCCCTGCTGTGCTCGGCCGCCTCCTCCACCGGGCCGGCTGGCGGTCCCGTACGCGCCCCCTCCGGCCGGGGCTCGAAGGCGGCCCGCAGGCCCAGCAGCCAGCAGCGCTCGATGCTGCCCGCCTGCACCAGGTCCCAGGAGAGGCCGGCCAGGTACAGCATGTCCTTGAGCATGAAGGTGCGCATGAAGTCCAGCGGAGAGGCGCCCGCGCAGGACACGGCCAGGCGCAGCAGCTCCCGCCTGTACAGCTGCTTGAAGGCGGCCACCACGCCCTGCTCCAGCGGGGCGGGAATCTGCGCGCCGCCGCTGCCCCGGGACAGGAACAGCACGCGCACGGCGCCGTCGGGCGTCTGCAGCTCCTCCGGGGGCCCGGGCGGCTCGGGGCGGGCTCGCCTGGGGGCCTCCTCGCTCTCGCCCAGGGCCGGCGTCCTGGCGGCCGGGCCCGGCGGGTGGGCCACCAGCAGCACGGCCTTCTGCTGCAGGCAGCTGCGGCGCAGGTAGCGCTTGACGCCGGGCACGAACTCCTCAAAGAACCAGCCCCGCAGGAGCGGGCGGCTGAGCCAGGCGTCCGGGCTGTAGCGGTACGAGGCAGGGAACTTGTCCTGGTTGTGGTGGCGCAGGCTGGGCGGGTCGGGCAGCTGCCCGATGATCAGCGGCTTCAGCTTATGGCTGCCCGTCAGGTTGGCGGCCAGCAGCACGGTCACCCGGTCGCCCCGCCAGCGCCGGCCGCAGCCCCCTGAGTCCCGGGACGCCGCCTGCTCGGGGAGCAGCTTCCAGTAGAGGCCGGTGACGTTGGCGTTGTAGATCTGCTCGTCCCCGTAGCCGCCGTCGGCGGGGGGCAGCGCGGC